AGACGCCTTAACCACTCGGCCATCACAGCACGACTACTAAATGAAATAAAAATATGATCGATATTTCATGGTTCCATATATAGACTAAGTAACTTCATTGAATTTTTCGAATGTATTAGTATGTAGTGTTTGATAATATAAAACAATAAAACTGAACGAATTGGTATACAAATCTTTTGTTTCATTGTATCCTCTTTAAGATAAAACGAAATTCTTCTATTTTTGAGTTCAAAAGCTTTTGTTTGATAATGATGTTATTGCAAACTGCAATTAGACATCAAATATAAAAATAAAAAATAATATTACGAAGATATTCATGATCATTGTTTTGTTCCAAGAATAACAAGTAATAAAAAAAATTTTATAAAAAAGTAGGTCATGGTTCGTAAGATTATTCTTGAAACATGTGAAGCATAATTTTTTTCATAATTTCTATATATCAAAAAATTAATTTAAATTTTAAATTAATGTCTTCTTCAGATATAATTAAGATTGACTTATATTGGTTCGACCTCAACCAAAAAAATAAATATCCTTAGTTTTAAACTTCATGAGAATTTTTTAATTAGAAATTAAAAATTAAATATGACAGATGTTTACTACAATAGTATGATTTGTGTTTAAATATTTATATATATTTCTTACATTCAGCGACATGATTTCAAAACAACACGCAACCATTTGATTGAAAGATGTCCTTTCAAAATATGAACTCAGCAGTAACCAATACGTCTCTCTGAAATCAACATGTAAATGGCAAAAATTTCAATTTCAATCATCAAATAACATTTTGAGTATATACATAAAATTGATTAAATTCAGCAAAAATGGTTTTCATGGATAGTTCAGAAATAACTACTTCTATTAAAAGTGCAGTGCGTCACTTAAAACAACTGGGTAAAATTAATAATCTTATTAAATATGTTTTTTAATATCTCTCATTAAGGTGGATCATTTCAAACGAATACATTCACTGAAGCTGATTTAAATAATATTGATCAAGTTGCTGATACACTTATGACATTAGTATATGACATTTTTATCTGAATTATTTATAATATCATATTTATTCAATAGGAAAAAGAAATTTTGAAGTTGTATAGTGATTATGAAACAGAATCCATTGAATCTAGTCGACTTCGTCATAGATTGAAACTTCTACCAATTAATATTAAAAATGAAATTCAAGGTACAACCTAAATTTTTTTTCTATTGATTATATATGATTTATTCTTACAGCTGCTGTTAAAATGGCAAGAGAATCGAATTTAAGTGTTATTCAACAATTGCAAAACGATCTTGATATCTGTCTTCGTCAAGTACGTGAACATACCGAACAAGAAACTCAATTAAATGCAGGTATTCAAGCATTACAGTAAGCAAAAGCAAATAAATTTTTTTATTAATTTTCTTTTCAATATTAAAGAGCAGAGAAAAAAAGATTACAAGATCAATATACTGCAACAATTAATGAAGTTAATCAACGTATATCTGAAAAGGCTGCATTACAAATTAGTTTAAATGAAGCAAGAGACAATGTTAGAGATACGAACAAACATGTAAGTTATGTCATAACAATGATTTTTTTTTCTAGTAGAAATATCTACTTCGAAGTATTCTACTGCTACTAATATGATATGAAATTGTTTTGAGTAGAATAATTAAAACTGTCAAGATATAATTTAGTATAAGCACCCATATACTGTGATGTACAAATGAGAAAAAAATTGTCGTTATTATGAAATCTCACTAACATACTAAATATTAGTATTCTATTTATTTTGTTTTGTCGTAGACATTCGATTTAGAAGAAGATATAATGGCATTAAAAGAACATATAATGCAAGAACGAAATGATGCTCGTAAAGAAAAAGCTCGTCTTGAAGGAGAAATTGTGAGTAATTTATTCTTAATTTTCAATGAAACTAATCAATCTTGTTTTCTCAGACAACTACTACTAAACAATATGATGAACAAGAAAAGGCAAATCAAAAATTGAAACAGTATTTATTTCGATTTATTCTTCTTTACTTGATTATATATATTTCTAGTGATGTCGATTTTGCTACTCAAAAATTATCCGAAAGTGAAATACAATTGCGTACAATATATAGAGTTAAATCGAATTTAAAAAGTAAAATATGAAAAATATAATTATTTGTTTTATAATAGGAACGTGAACGATTTGAAAATGAAAATAATGAATTAAGACAACATGTTGCTGAACAAACTGAATCTTTTGAAAGGGAACAAAAAGATCATGATCGTTTATTACGAGAACAGTAAAATTATTTTAATTAAAAAAAATACAAGATTTTCATTTTTTTAAAATAGACTTGAATTAACTGAATCAGCTGCTCGAGCATTACTCAGTTATCAAGAAGAAAAAGCTTCATGTGAACGTCGAGCTAAAGTCGTATGTTGATTATTATTTATTTTTATTCCTATATCTAATATAAATCTATTCAGGCTCATGAACAAACAAATGCAGAAACAGAAAATTTAAAAAATCTTAAACAAAAACATGATGATCTTGTTAAAGAAATTGAAGAACGTGGTGAAATATTAAAAAAATTAGAAAATACTGTCGAAGAAATGGGAAAAGAGTTCGTTTAATAAAAAAAATATTCTCATAAATTTTATCTTTGTTCTTCTTGTTTAGATTAGATATACTCAAACAAGCTATTGCAGAAAAACTTGAACAAACATCTAAACTTAATCAAGAAAACTCTGAAGCAACGAAACAACTTGAATCAATGAAACAAGCTCATTCGATGATGATTGATTCATTAAAATTTCAAATGGAAGCACTTGAAAAAGAACTACAAGCGGTTCGTGATATTCGGTATGAGATAATAGAAATTACTTTTTTCTTCTAATTTTTTGATTTCATAGAGTGACAAAACAAAAAGAACGTGAAGCATTACTTAAATCAGTTGAAAAAGTTAAATTAACAGCAAAAGATAATGATATACGACATAATCGATTTGTAACACAAACGACAGCTAAAATAAAAGAATTAACTGAACGAGTATGTTTAGAAAACTAAAAAAATTGAAATAAAAATATTTTTTCAATTTTATTAGAAAGCATTTCTTGAAAAAACTGCACGAGAAGATCAATTACTTATAAAACAACTGGAAGAAAAAATTGTACTATTAAAAGAAGAATATCGACAAATGAAAATACAATTAAACGAACAAATTAAACTTCTTGAAGTAAAATAGATCCTGACATAGAAATTCGACTAGCTTCATATTTTAGGAAAGTATTGCTCAATTAGTAATTACCATTGATACACATCGAAAGAGAATTGTTGATTCAACACCAGAATATGAACATCTTCAGGTAGAACATGAAAAAGTAAGTGCAACGTATGAAGCAGCGAAAGAATTAATGATAGAAACAAAACGTAAAAAACAAGAAGTTCTCGATAAAATTGCCAATGTTGAACGTGAAATTCGAGAGAAGATTAGATCACGTGATATAACAATATCAGCTGTTAAAGAATGTCAACGTGAAACGCAAGAACGTATGCAAAAAGCACATGAAGAAACATTAAAACTTGAAGAAGATATTTATGAAAAAGGTTGTCTATTGGAAACATTAGATAAAGAAAATGAACGATTTCAAAAAGTAAATTTTGTTTATTATTATCATATAGATATATAAATATTAATTTTTAGAGTATTGAATATTTAAAATATCAAATTGATATATACAATCGATTTACTCAACAATCGGGTGTTGATATGAATAATATTAATGAAAATAATCTTAGTCTACTTGGTTAGTTGATTGTATTTTTTCTTTTCTAATTTGAAATTTATTCATTTTTTGTTCGCCATACAGGAATTCTTAAATTAAGTTGGAATGAAGATCGACAAATTGAACAAAGAGCAGCACAAAAAGATTTAGAATATATCAATAGTTTAGCTGCTTTACTTAAACATACAGAAAAACGTAAAGTAAAAGTTGGTTCAATTGTTCATCGTCTTATTGGAGAATTACAACAATTAAAATATTATCTTGAAGGAATGGCAAAACCAACAACACCTCGTAAGAAAATCCTACAATTAATATTCAGACTTTCATTAAATTTTATCTTTAGTTCGTCCATTACAATCAACTTCACATAGTCAACGAAATCGTTCTGGTCGTAGCATATCAAATGAACGTGCACAATCCTCACGAAAATCACCAAGATCATCACCAGATTTATTGAAAACAGGACGACGATCAAATTCAGCTACACGAGGAGATCGATCGGCACGAACTCCAACACCAACACCAAGGAATAAAAATAATTAATAATATTAGATGAAGTAATAAACAATGAATTTTTTTGGAATAATTTTTTTTATAATAAAACTGATCGATGTGAATACTGTATATGATTGAACTGAACAATACTGAGGATGAAATAGAACTGATTGTTTATAATATATTCTGTAATTAGTTTTAATCAAAAATCAATAGTCATATTTCAATCCAGTTTAAAATATTATCTTATAGAAATTCAGAAGACTGTTCCATTTGGTTACATCAACGCTAATGCATTTAAAACAAAGAAACGGAGTAACATGCAATCTGTAATTGTCTAACCAACATTTTATATACAAAGACTGTAGTGTCATTGAGTTAACATTATGTCATTAGCATGTAAAATAATGTAAACATACCACAAAAAATAAACTAATGGTAATCATGAAGAAAACAACGAAGTTGCCCTTGAAAGTTACAATCTCTTTTTAAAGTATTCTACTAGAATTTAACCGAAACAAAAGATACGCAGATTACATACTTCACATATTTCCTGTCTTACTATATTCAGACAATGAATGAGAATCAAGGAAGGACATATGTATGAATGACATAGCACAGTATGTATCATCATTTTTCGTAGGTCAAATCTAAAATAACAAGAAGAAGTTTATTTTTATTAAATCAAGCGAAACAAACTTGTTATTCTTATCAAGAAGAAGAAAAAAATATAGGTGTTGTTTAGTGCATGACACCCTGCTGATGAATAAGATATAGATCCATTCTATTTCGATGATTACAATGGATTAAATAAGATCTTCTTTTGTTATTCAGATGCGGAACAAGATTTATTCATTGCATAAGAAATTAATTTAATTTTGTCGAACTATGGAAAATATTAGTATAATATGATAATCGATTACATAAGCTTCCCTGCTGTTTTTTGATCACATATTCTTACATTGAAATATCACACATAAATGTTAAGAAAATAGGTGAAAATGACTTATCACCTTGTATAAGAAATTAACTACTTGAATAATAAGATATTTGATTGATCGATTTTTGTATCTAATGATCGGCATTCATCATTATTATGATTCTATTCAGTCTATTACAAAATTATTGACACTTACGTGAAAAAAATGAATTAGTTTTCTGATAATGTAAGATCTTTAAACAAATAATTTCTATCGTTCGTATTTATTTTAATAGAAATAAGACAGTTTCATATACTATTTTCTTAATTCACCCCCCTACTGTCATTGTTCATTATATACATATGAACCTGATGATTGTCTTATTATATGTCAACAAATAATGTTTATTTAAAAAAAAGAAGAAGTTTGATTTGTAAACTAGATGAATAATATTTATTTTCTAGAACGATTGCTTGAATTAATAAAATCTGTTTTAAATTTAGAACATAATATTCTTTTCCCAACCTACACGATTAGATAGACTAAAATAATACATATGGACATTGTTTTTTCTATAAAATGCTATTGATAAAATATGAACACAATTAACAATTGGATGAGAACAGTCAGTATATATATATTATATAACAGGAGGACAATTTTCTAGGAATGCAATTCAATCGATTATTCTCTTTGTACGTATTTAATTTGGTTATTTTTTTATGAACGATTTAAAGCGAAACAGATTAGATACATATGTATAGAGAAGAAGAAGAAAATGAATTCACTCACTATCTATTAATGAACGAGACAAAATATATGTGCCAATTGTTTCATATTTAACTTTTCCGACTCATCGAATTCGATCAAACAACAAGAAGAGATCATTGTTAAAAGGTAAATTATGTCATATGATCAAACGACTCAGTTTTATAAGTATAACTATGACAAGTGAGCAACAGGAGGTGGCGAAGATCATGTAGAAATGAACATACTTGAGGAGTGTTTGATGATTTTGAAAGATATTTCTACTTCCAATACGAATAGACTAAAAATAAAAGACGAGACTTGATGAAATTCGAATCTTATTAATTATCAACTGTTGCACCATATTTATAGAAGGATATTCAATATAGTTCCTAGTAGAGCAACATGAATAGAATGTCTGAATTTCTTACATTGAATTTTATATCGACAACAGAATCTTATAGTTTTTTGCCTGGTGAATATAACTGAGCATCTAGTTTTCAAACTTTTTTCTTATAAAATCTTGAGATATACCTGAAATAAAAATTCAAATGAGAAGAAAAAAAAGAAATCAACTTTTCTCCTATTGGTAGATATGTAAAGAAAATACGTATTGGTAGAAATAGAGTAAAGAACAACTCAGCATGATTTCTCCAATCAACACCCTACTGTTTCTCTCTCTCTGTCTTTCTCTCTCTTTCCCTTCCTCTTTTTCTTTCATTCCATATTGAAAAAAAATAGCTTAGCTGGATATAACACACGCATTTCCTTTTTTCTTATCAGTCGTTTCTCACTTCAGGGAATCTCATCAAATGATTCCAATATAAAATCATATCATTTACTCTTCATCTCTATTCTTATTTGCAGATCATAATCTTCACACTTAATTTTAACTATACTGCTGTGTATATATCATCGTTTCATAAATTACCTACTGAAGTCATTTTTGCAGTATGAATAGTTAGTTCCTGGTGAGCTTAAAAGGAACAACACGTCTTACCTTCTCTTATTCAATAGAATTTAATAAGTGTTAATTGCTTGACAATAAATCATACAGTGAAGATAATTATTAAGTTTATTTTTCAAACATTAGTTGTTTATATCAATGTTTGATCTTACAAATCCATCAACTGATTTATATTCAAATCCGTATGTATCAACAGCATATCGACCATTTCCATCAGCTCCACCACCTTCATTTCTATTCAATATACCAACATCTACTGATGATCAACAACAACAACGTTTTACAGATTTTTCCTCATATCCAAATCCAACACAAGATCTTATGTAAAATTTCTTTCATTTAATTTTATTCTGATTCTATTTATACATATATTTAGGACATATCCAATGTTCGATCCCGAACAGTATACAAATAATCAATATCATTCACGACATATTGATCCAACAAATCAAACCGCATTTTTACCATATATATATCCATCATATCGTCCTGGACTTCATTCAACATCATCTAATAATATAGTTAATGATAAAAATGACAGTCATATTTGTAAATGGATTGATCCTGATACAAATCAAATGTGCAATCGAATATTTTCTCATATGCAAGATATTGGTAAGAATAAAAGAAAATGATGTTAATAAATTTTTCATATTGATCATATTATTTCTAGTAACTCATTTAACTATTGAACATGTAAGTGGATCTGAACAATCAACTCATACATGTTTATGGTTAGATTGTTGTCGAAATGGTCGAGCATTTAAAGCAAAATATAAATTAGTTAATCATATACGTGTTCATACCGGTGAAAAACCATTTGCTTGTCCATTTGCACGTTGTGGAAAAGTATTTGCACGTTCAGAAAATCTTAAAATTCATAAACGAACTCATACAGGGTTAGTTTTATATTTCAAATATTTTTCTATTTAAACTAAAACATTTATCTTTTTTAATTTCTATAGAGAACGACCATTTCGATGTCAAATTTGTGAACGATGTTTTGCAAATAGTTCAGACAGAAAAAAACATCAACATGTACATACATCAGCTAAACCATATAATTGTCGAATAAATGGTTGTGATAAAACTTATACACATCCATCATGTAAGATATTTATATAAATAACGAAAGAATAGAACGAAAATATCTATATTTATTTCATAGCATTACGTAAACATATGAAAATACATGAATCATCATCTGAATCTACGAATGAATCACGTACAAAACGATTAAATAATCAACAACGTACTTGTTCACCACAAATAAATAATTCTTTAACAACAGATAGTTGTTCACAATCACCATCTTCATATGAAAATCTAGCACCAATAAAAATTCAACCATCTTATATGCAAACTATGAATGTTTATCATCATCATCATCCAACGAATTTTCCACAACATTATACTGAACTTAATTTTTAAAGAATATGTTTCATGGCTCTTTTTATATATATAAATAAAATATATTCGTTCACCGAAATTAATAATCGTATAACGAATATCAAACATATAATTACTTTCTCTTCAATGCGGATGGATCAAATATTGAAATAAAACTTTCTTATTGAGACCTCCGACAGCGATTTTTCTTTCGCACCTATTGATTTTCGTATTCTATTGTTCAACAAATAATCCTAGCAGGGTGCCATGTCTATACAAATGGCCTTTCAATTACAAAGGTTCATATAGAATTAAACATCTTTCTTGTAATCAATTTTTCAATTGTCTACTTATATACATATGATCATCATTTTCCACTGCTGGATATGCTAATTGTTAAGACAAAAATCAAAACAAATGTTTTATATCGAACTTTATTTTTTAAATAAAAAAAAGAAACGAAAAGAAAATGGAAATGAGATAAAGCACACGTTCTTTTTTTGAAAGAAGTTTATGAATGATAAAATAACCAGATCATGTTGGATAGATTTTGTGATGAGAATGTAATTGATTTAGTTCTTTTTATTACGACTTAATGATATTGACACTAAAATATTAATAAAATTATATTGATGTTCATTATTTTATATGAGCAAAATCAGAAAGGTGTTTTCTTGTTCTATATAATTTCATGTATTACTATTTTGCACTAAATAGTCTAATAGTTTAAGAAATGAATACAATTACGGTATTAATCATTTCAGGTCCGGCAGCTTATTTTAAGAGAAAATTACAAATATGTCAAATTTATGAAAATGATATTCTTTGAGACAGCCGAGAGACTACACGAAACAGTGAGGATAATAGACTGATAGTTTACCTCTCATATGTGACTACCTTGATCCATACTCTTGCATGAATTCTCGAGCAAGTTACAGACACAATTGTGACAGTTCGAGATTTTGCCTAGTTTTTTATCTGACACACAGCATAAGATTACATACAATCATATCGATAATGAAGAAAAATCGTTATGGTTACAATTGTAGAAGATGTAGATCATAATACGAATGTTTACTTCGAACTTTAAAGCATCACCAGTCCCGAGGAGGTTAAAAAAATCCTCGGCGAGATTAGAGACAATTTGTATACTTAATATTGAATAGTAAATGAAAATTTTGATTGTTTTCGAATTCTATAAAAATTACTGCAAACGATTAGCATATTACGTATTAAATAACTGTATATTAAAAATTTAGTATAGATGAGTAGCGAAAGAAAAACAAAGCAATTTATCGTTTTATATAAATATAATTTCTCAATAATCAACAGGGGCGTAAGTCAGGTGTCAGAGCAGGGGGAGGGTGCAGGGGGCGTAACCCTAGTTTTTCTATTTCGGTGGTCAAAAAAAGGGAACTTTCTAGAAGTAGGAGGGATATAAACCCCTTTTTTCCTATTAGTTTTCAGAAGCAGAGGGGTGGGTACCACGCCCTACACGTCCCACTCTATTTACGCCACTGATAATAAATAAACAAAAAATAACTTACTGATAATAATAATTAAAACTGTAACCACAATGCCAGCAATGCATACATTTGTCTGAAAAGATAAATAGAAGATTTTAAATAAATTAAAGGACGTGTTAATACTTTAGCATTTTTCCACCAGAATTTATTTCGTAATTGTTTCGTTGTTTGATTATATGTTGTTGCTGATGTTTGAAGATCATCAGCCCGTGTTACAAGATTATTTAATGCAACATCACGATCTAATAATTTATCAATATTTTGTTTCATAACACCAACGACTTCTTGAACTTGACCGTGAAGTCTAGAAAAAAAAAGAATTTTTTTAATTTAAAAGCAAATTTAATCTTTCTTAATATATTTACGCTTTTACATTTTCATCACCTGTTGATCGTGTATTTTGTCTAAATAAATAAAAAAGGATTTTGCTGAATTTATACAAATAATCACTTACGAATCTACACGAATATCGAGTGCTTCATCATCATCTTCGCGAATAGATGACTAAAAATAAAAAGAATTTATTTGAATTAACAAAAATAACGTCAACTTACATAATTTTGTGGACGAGAGGCAAAACCACCAGCTGCAGCCATTTATTTTTTATGAGAAAAAAAAGTTAACTTGTAGATGTATATTTTAGATTTGTACAAAATTCATAATCTAAAAATATACCTTTGAAATTAATTCTACTAATATATATTACGGACTTCGAGTATTGGGTTTAGCAAAAATGTTGAAAAGATTTTATTTTATTATTTGTAACACTCTCTTGTGAATGACAACACGTTAAAAACTATTTACTATGTCGCATACGAAAGTAATTAAAACACTAATGTTCATTTGAATCAGGGGTGGTGAAGCGTCATTAACCTAAGTGAGGCTCACAACTTTTATTGAAACATGAAGCAAAATATAATTCTTCTTTTTATTAGACCTCAATAAAACAAACCAGAACGTACCAAAAAATAACTTTTTCTATTCGTTCTTCGATGCGAAAGTTGAACAGAGACTTTGCTTTGTATATGTGTCAAACAGAGAAAAATAGATGAATGCTTGGACGTTTTTCAGCTATTAGATACACTGTAAAGCGGATATAAATCAATTCGATCACTACTGAAGTACTTCCTTACTGTCGTAATAAGATACATATGTGTATGTGTATATGCGCTTGAAAAAAACCAAACGTTCTGGGAATAAAACATATATAGACGAAATGACGGAAAAAACCTGAGTATCATATAGAAAAGGGAAATATCCAAGTAAAAGAAAAGAAAACATATAAAAATAAGTGAACCGTATCAAAAGGTAGATATGTCAGAATATATATCTAGTTATGTTAGATACCGAACACAACAAATTCTAATAATAAAAGATAATATTCAGTCTGAAAATAAGTGAGGCTTAAGCCTCCACTGATTTAGATTAGAAAGATCGATCTATTTATCCGTTTTAGTTCATTAGACATGGGAATAACTATAAGCATCGCACATTCAGAACTACTAAAAAGTACGAAGATACTAATAACAACTCGTGAAAAATAAGATGAAACTTAATGCTAGAGTTACGAATTCAAATTACACTTCAACGGTTAGTTTTTTTCTTCTATTGTTTCTGTATAGTATATCTGATCTGCTATAATACAACTAAAGAGAAAAACGAATGAATCATAGAAAGAATTTTTATTTAACAACAAAAAAGAAGAGATATTCAAGGAACAGTTATTTATCTCCATTACTTTCTAATAATGGATTATTATCTAAACGACCAATTTCATCTTCGAAATTAATCGGTAATTTTACATCAATAAATCCTACAAGTTCAAGTAAAGAATAAAGTACAACTTTCGATTGTTTTTGATAAATCATTAAACGTTGATTTAAATGTGTTAATTCAGATTTTTGTTGTTCATATTCGATATTTAATTGATCTAATTTTTTTTGTAAAATATCACGTGATGGATAACGATTTATAACATTAAACATAGTGAAATAATCTGATTGATGACGACGTTTTAATTTAGCTAGTTTTAAATATTTTTTTCTTTCATTTAAACTTTGATTTATTTCTATTATTGAATCATTTGAATGAGATAAGTTTTCTTCATTTGATAAAATTTCTTGATTTAAATGTTGAAGATTAATATTTATTGACGATCGATATTGTAGATCATGTTCATTAAGACGTTGACACAGATCATCGAGAGAAGTTGTTGTTGTTGTTGTTGATGAAGATGATTCATCATCCATTTGTGGATAACAAAATGAATGAAAACGTTCGGATAAATTAAATAAATATAGATCTTCATCATGATCTAATTTTTGTTTTTTTCGTGTCGTCGACATTTATTCTACAAAAATTAAAGTTAGTACGAATTCATGATTAGTAATAGAAAAATAGTTGACTAATAATGTTTATTATAAAAAAACGTGACATGACAAAGGTTGGTTGAATATTTCAATATCAGCTGCGTCAAAGTAGAACAAACAAGCACTCTTAGGATTGGACTGATACTCTCCAATAAGATAATCATTAAAATGATTTAAATTTGTTGTAAATTTTAGATTTTTTTAATAACTGTTGGAAATGAACATTGTCATTTCGAGTTATGAAATGAATGGAGTATCATAGTCTTTATAAACTACTAGCGCCATCTTTTGAAAAACGTATAGTTTTAAGAATGAAGAGCCTTCGATTTGAATTAATTGATATCTACGAAAATTACTAGAAGATCATAGTCTCGCAGAAACTATATACATACAATGAAGAATTAGAACCATATTCGCACAAGAACCGTAGAATTGTGTTATTTCCTTATGCTTCGCACGTGAAGAAACCAGCGAAAAAAAGATTCACAATTATTTTTAATCATTGAATCTGTGCTATGAACTTATTTTTGTGCTTGGTACATATATAATAATTCTAAGATGGTACTAGATGAATGATTAGCGATAAGTATAGAATATCATACATGTTTCAGTCATTAGACAATTGCTTATTCCTTGAAATATTATGAATACAGCTATTTTAAAAATTTAATATTTCGGAAAGACATTTGTACCGATGTTTAACTTCTAAAAGTTCAATTTTGAACATTATATTACAGGGTAATTCTATAGTACAGTAATCATTCTGTGAGTATAATACATTCTGACATTTCAATCGGAAGATCAGTTAAAAAGAAAATGATATAGATTTCACGCTTTCTAATTCGAACTAACAGAATTCATATTTTCACAAAAAGAGAAGAAAGAACCATATGAAAATCTATTCTAAATTATAAAACGTTTACAAACTGAAGCATAATATGTATATCTTAAAAACAAAGCAACTTGTTCGAAAATAATAAAATAATTTATTTTTTTGAAATCAACGCCATCTACATAAATTCAAAGAAATAGAATTTTCTAAAGGATATATTTTAACTTTTCCCCAATCGATGAAATTTGATAACTTCAATGATTTTTTTTCCAATAAAATTGATTAGAAACTTTATTTTTTGATTTATATGTTATCACAAATTCAACAACTAGCTCAGAAAGGTTTAACATCAGGTTTTTTAAAATCGATTTCTTCATCATCAACAATCAATGATTCTCTACCTTTAATTTTTCAATACGGACCATTTACTTCTAATCTATTCTTTAATTTTCGACAAGAATGGGTACAATCATTTCTACGAAATAATTTCGGTCGTTATAATTTTCTTTGGCTTGATTCAATTGATCAAATAAATCCTACATCTAATATGACTATTGCTTGGCAAACAAAACTTTCATCAAACCATTCTCAACCACCATTAATTCTTAAACATGATAATTCCATAGAAAATAATGATTATCTTTGTATACGTTATATAAAACCGATGAATGAAATTAATTTAATACGTCTAGCAGATGAACGAACACGTTTTTGGAAAAAATATTTTTTAAGACGTGAAAAACTTGAATGTATATCATCAAAATCAAATCAATTTGATATAAATTATCGCTTCTCCGAAGATACGGAACCATATTATTTAGAAACTATTCAATCAAATAATGATTCATCATTAGATTTACTATTAAATATTAATCATACATTAATTACTTTATTAATTGATTGTCAAATGAAAAATTTACATCCATTATTAACAGCACATCAAATTGGAATAAAATCAACATTAAAATCAGCGGAATTATCTCGTTATTTATCAAAATTATTAACATATAAATATCATTTACGTGTATTAAGTTTAATGAATGAAGAAAATTATGATTATATACCATTTCATATTATACTTAATGATGATTCATTAAAAAATGGTCTTTGTTCAATATGGAATCGTGATACGGAATTAAATGAACAAATACATATAAAACAAGTTGCAAAACGTTTAGCAGATTATTTTAAAGCACTTGATGATTTTATTTAATTGTTAAATCATATTTGTTTTCGTTGAAAGAAAAATATATATAGAGAGATTTCCTAAATAGTATATCTTGTAATCTATGTCTATGGTTTATCAATACTGATCTAGTTAGGGAAAGAAAAAATTAAAATAAATGTGTAGAATTTGTTCTCATGTTCGATGTAAAAAGCCGAACAATAACTTCTCAAACTTAACTATGATTTGTAATTGACATGTCTTACGATTAATAGAAATAATTCGTTTTTTTTATTGAGATGTCATACATTTTGTACAGAACTTTTGAATTTATTCTTAATTTCTTCATCAAAGATTGTCCTTCAAGTCATTTAAACTCACCATCGATCAGACTATAGAAAATTGGAAGAAGTAGACGCAAAGAAAAAAAAGGACTGGGGGTGACTGATAAAAAAACTGAAAGTTTCCGATTTTTAACTAGTCACCTTCAGTCCTTTTTTCCTTCCGTTTAAATCTTATGTCTTTTAAAGATAGATTGTATTATTAGAATAAGGCATTTGAATAAATTTCAAACTGACAAGTCTCGTATCGATAGTACTTTAAAAAGTATGATCAACTAAATAATTCAATTCATTACTTTGTTTAAATCTTTTTTTTTACTATCAACATTCAGAAATCATTGTATTAAATCTGCCATAGAACAAAATTTTATTTTGCAGTAGTATGCATCAAGGTTACTTTTTATTTACATCAATACAAATGTTTTTGTTTTTAAGACATGGCAGAAGTAAAAAATATTATGGCATTATTACGTTTCATTTTAATAGCATTTAAAAATAAATGTCTATTTTTATTCTATTCAAACATTTACTTATTAATATAAGTTTAATAATTGTGGTGTTTTTATGTTGCTGGCAAAGAAAACGTAGAGTTCCGAGTTTATTTTCTCTCACAACTATCCGCGAAAGTTTTTTATTCAAATATTTCTGACGCAATGTTTTTTTGCATTCCAAAGATCAGATTGTTGACATAAACGTCTCAAGTAACGTCTATGATCTTTCAAAGAAAAGTAACCGGTGAAAAATCATTCTTGGAAATTTTTTTGTTTTTTTATTTGTCAGTCATTAAACATCAGTTATTTTTTTCTTCCAACATAGAATTCATTTTTCTTTGTATAAATAGACTGAAATTTAACAGACTTCAAACCACACGTTTATTTTTGTTTGCTTGTTACATCAATTTACTTTTGACCTGAAAAAAAAGAAGTAATGGATGATGATTTAGCTTTCTGTCTTGGCCGATTTATTGATGATCAAATTCAACTAATTGATGATCGTATTGAACACATTAAAGAAAAAGAAATTGAAGAATGCAATGAAATTGAACAAGAACGAGCTGACAATATCCAAAATCGACCTCCACCAAAAGATAAAGGCTCACATTATAGAGATAAAGCTCTTGTTGATAAATTCGTTAAAGATCTTGGTCAATGTAGTGCACAACCAAAGAAAGTAAGAGCAGTTACTGATGATCAAACTTGTATAGATTCATTACGTGCAGAACTCTGGACAAAACTAACCGCATCTACAAATTATATCAATCGATTACATAGTTTAGCTAAACCATTACCAAATACAGCAAAATTCGTAGAAACATGCCGTGAAACAGTTGAATCTTTTAAACGACCAAGTGATTTTGATGCTAACTATAAAGCATTATATAAGATTATAGAACAAGATGAAAAAGAACAAGTCATTGATAGTATTCAAAAATGGTGGAGCGAAAAATATGGAGATAAAATAGCTGAGATTAATCAACGGAATGATAGATTTAATAAAGCTATTACTGACAAAAATTTTGTTACTCTATCATCAAACAGTGGTGTAATTCGAAATGCAAAAAAACTTATTGAAGTTAGAGAGGAAATTATTATTGAACCTGGACACTTTGAAATTGTTCGTGAATTTGTTCGACAACTTTTATTGTTCGACCAAGAAAAACGGGAACATACTAATGCTAATGAACTTAGCAATGAATTAAATAGTAGAACTATTGAAGAAATTATTGATTATGCAGAAAGATGGTTGTCAGAACGTGATGAGATTCGTAATCGAAAAGAAGAAGATCCATGTATGTTGAATATTATTAATATATTTCTCTTTTTCTATTAAAAAAGTTTTTTTTATCTTGTTTAGTTCAAGATAGACTAGACGAGGTTAAAGCAAAATATGGCCAACAACGCATGGCTCATGGAGCACAAAAACTTGCTGTAGCAGCACTTCTCTGTCGATTAGCTGTTGGTTCAAAAAATGATGAACAATTTAAAGAACAATTGAAGAATACTGTTCATCAAGAAAAGGAAAGCGATGAACAAAGTCTACCTGTAATTTCTGGTGATATCAGTGATCCACAGGGTAAATAAAACATTTGTGACTATGACGGAAAAAATTTTTCAGAAGATAATATATATCTACTTATCTTAAATATTTCTAGGCTTTTTTAAAAGTTAGTTCTTTTGTTTTTCTTTTAAGATGACTATGATGACTGAAATTTATTTTTTCATATATTTTAGTTGAAGAACTACCCGTAATGTTTGAACTCAAAGCGGATGCGGCTTTTATGAATCAATTTAAAAATAATTCAAATGAAGTTCAAGAACGATTCATTGAAGGCTTATGTCAAGCGTTCTCTATCCCGAGAGGAAAAATTTGTATGAAGAATATTGATTGTGACAAAGCTATTATATGTATATTGATTTTACCACCTTATGGTAAAAAGGTTGTCGATAGTTTAAATGGCAGTGCCTCAGATGCTGTTGCTCGAAGGAATGCAGTGAATAGATGTTTTAGTGATATTAATGCAGATGTTGAATCAGTTACACTGGGTGAATTTGCATTGGAAGTTGAAGGTAGACTAATGGATCCAAGATGGAATAAGAATTATATTTGGTCATCTGATAACCGTGCCGAAGGAGAGTATTGGGCAACTCCAATTAATCAAGGTGGTAGACCTTATTTTTGCCCTTCAGGTTAGTACAGTAATCTTAACTTATTAATCTATTTGCTATTTTTGATGCTTAGGTTGGAAACGTTATGGTATTAAAGTAGCCACAGATGGCAGAGAATTTGATGCTAAGTGGGGTACTTGGAATTTAGCATACCATGGCACACAAGGCGAGTATGCATCAAGCATTATTACTTCTGGTCTTAAAGTTAGCATGAGAGGATGTTATTATGCTAAAGGGATACCACGAGTGTATGTCTCACCTAGTATTGAATATTGTGCTCATCCAAGATATGCTTGTCCATGGAAAAAAACGACGAAAAATGGTGAAACATTATGGTATCAGTTAGTGTTTCAATGTCGAGTTAATCCAGGTTCGATCGACGCCATCACACCCGAAACAATACTAGCAATGGACAATAAAAACAAAGTAGTAATAGATCGAAATTTCACAAATGACCAGCTAGAGTGGACTATATTAGGTCGACCTAATCAGGAATTTATTGCAGATGATATTATTTGTTACGGCATGATGCTGCGTACATCAAGAGTCCATCCAGCAACTTTGACACCATCTAAATGGTGGGTAAACTCGGATTCTAGATGTTACACCGATGAAATGAAACGTGATAATTCATAGAATACATATAATCAAATATATTTTACAATTTTTATACGGTCCTTTTTTTGGTTTTATTATTAGTTATTTATGATTTTTTTATGTTTTGAAAATAAAACAAAGAATAAACTGTACGCAGTTGAATTTACAATTCATTTTTGTATAATGTTATTGTTAAAGAGTGTTTAAGACAGAAAACCAAACATATAGGTATGATCAAAAAATGGTTATGAAACGTTCTTCTCGTTTCTAACAGATGTCAATTAACTAGCTTCTGAGAAGACTTTCAAATATGTTTCTTAACGGAATTCATTAGCATCTCATCAGTAAATCATTGCTTTATAGGCAACAAATGAAATATACTTGAACTACTGAACTCTTTCTAAAATATTTAGAAGAGTTCAAATCAATGAAAATTAGAGAAAAACAAACGATTTACAATAGCATGATAGAGTCTATCAGATTCGATTCAAAATGAAATAAATTTAGTTAGGAGTAACAGTTAAATATAACTTATATATGTATGAAAATATTAATAATCTTGAGATTTGAATTAATTAAATGAAAAAAGTAAGCATGTAGTTTTTATGTTGAAAATATAATTTTAATGTTTTTTTGAAAATTTTCGATCATTATCAATCTTTACCACTACCTTACAACAGAGGTTAATTTGAGAATCTCAAAATTATTGATAGTTTTTATACATTATTAGATATAAGTAGAATTACACAACTTGAGTATTTATTTATTATAAGTTGGTTGTGAATTGAATTTAACAGCATTCAATGTTTATATTCATGATGTTTATGATTATGATGTATATGACTATATTTTATTTTTCGTGTTCGTCTTCATTTTTTGTAAAATATTGTAATATCTAACATAAGGTAGTGATAAAGGTTGATAATGATCGAAAATTTCCAAAAAAACATTGAAATTATATTTTCAACATAAGAACTATATACTTACTTTTTTCGTTCAATTATGTACATATAAATAAAAAGAACTTTTGCAGTGGTTATCTAATGGAAATAAACGATACGATTCATATGTACGCTCGATCTTTTTTTTATCTGACGGATTGTATCCTATATCATTTTTCTTTTTAATGAAACCAACTGTTCTGAGTACTATTGTTCACTCTGTATCCTTTACTAAAAGAGTCACTTATTTCAGTTTAGTATATTCTTGATTATCAAAATCTGAAACAGAATAATGTTTAATATTCATATCTATATTTAGAACTAACTTTTGATACAAATTCAGTCATCTTATCATTCATATTTAGAATGTAATATTTAATTATTAAAACTGTTACCTTAATTTAAGTTATAAAGTTAACACTAACGTTTTAGTACCAGCTTCTCGTAAAAAATGTTTTCAAATATGTAAAGTAACTCTAAAAAATACTATAGTATCTATTAATTCATTTCTTAATATTTATACTGATAATTTCGTATGTTATAGTTCCCGTAGTTTTCAAATATCTGATTTTATCTTCAAGAGATCAACTAAAAACAATTCGATTTTGAATTTAGAGAAAATCTATGCTATTGTTCCCTTCTGATAAAAGAAGACAATACTGCATTGAATTCACTTCAGATTTACTAGGTATGGATATCCAAGGCAAATTAATAACTACTCGTCGTTTTTTTTATATCAGAAAAAGGGAAATTTGAGGGATGAGGGTGTTTTATTTCAACCACACCCAACCACCTCATCATGTTTGTCTTTTCTCGATTTTTTTATTTGGTTGTAAATCATTATCATTTATTTCCACTTCATTATCGGCTTAGTTACTCATATATAGAACATCGTTTTCTGTATTATTTAGATTAAGTTTAAATTGAAAGTCGAATAAGATACATTTATTTAGTCAGTCATTTATAGCGAACTAGAGAAAGTAAGAAAGACAAAAAACATCAACTCTATGAAAAAAACGGGTGTCGTAGTGAACTTTTTTTTCAGTATCATTTTCAGAACCTTTTTAGATTCTAGTAAAAATCTAGAACTTAAAATAGTTTTATGCAGATATGCGGAATCAAATAAAGATTTTAGGATTTTCTTCTAGGACCTAAAAATAGGTTCTGAAAATGGCACCGAAATCTAGAACCATAAAAGGTTCTAGCTCTTCGCTAACACCTTTTATGGTTCACTATAAAATCTTTTTTTTAAACAAGAGTTGAACACAATATGGTCTGTTTTGACTTTTCCACTGATTATTTAGTATAAATAACTGTCGAAGTACTTTATTTACTGATCTTATAATTTATTAAAAAGTGTTTTTATATAATAACTGATCAACTGATTAGTTTACTGATCATTCATTCAATCAACTGATTTTCGAATTTTTTATTTTGCTGATCGATTAAGTCCTAGCCTTTTAAAAATAGGTTATGTTGTTAGAATAAGGCATTTGAACAAATAATTTCTTCGACATAAATCAAGTTTCAGATTTCCTATCATTTTCTAACTATCATATATTAATTTCAAACTGACAAATCTCCTATCGATAGTACTTTAAAAAGTATGATCGATAAAATAATGGAACTTATTGCTTTGTTTAAATCTCCTTTTATATTATCAACATTGAAAAACTATTGTATGAAATCTGCCACAGAACAAAATCTTATTTTGTATTAATATGCATCAAGGTTACTTTTTATTTACATCAATACAAATGTTTTTGTTTTTAAGACAATGCAGAAGTAAAAAATATTATGGCATTATTACGTTTCATTTTAATAACATTCAAAAATAAATGTGTATTTTTATTCTATTCAAACATTTACTTATTAATACAAATTTAATAATTGTGATGTTTTTATGTTGTTGACAAAGAAAACGTAGAGTTTTGATTTTATTTTCACTCCCAACTATCCGCGGAATGTTTTTATTTGAATATTTTTGACAAACTACTCTTTTACATTCGAACGATCAGTTTGTTGATATAAATATCTCAAGTAACGTTTATAAATTTTCAAGGAAAAATAATTGTTGAAATTTTTTTGTTTTTTTATTTATCAATCATTAAACATCAGTTATTTATCTTCCAATATAAAATTCATTTTTCTTTGTATAAATAGATTGAAATTTAACAGACTTCAAATCTCACGTTTATTTCTGTTTGCTCGTTAACATCATTTTACTGTCTACCTGAGAAAAAGATGAAATGGACGACGATTTAGCTTTCTGTCTCGGCCGATTTACTGACCATCAAGTTCAACTCATCGATGATCGTATTGCAAAAATTAAAGAAGAAGAAAATGAAGTATGTCGTGAAATTGAAGAACGACAAGCTGCCCATATCAAAAATCGACCTCCACAAAGAGATAAAGGCTCACATGCTAAAGATAAAGCTCTTGTTGATAAATTCGTTAGTGATCTTCGTCAATGTAGTGCAGAACCAAGGAAAATAAGAGCAGTTACTGATGATCAAACTTGTATAGATTCATTACGTGCAGAACTCTGGACAAAAGTAGCAGCATCTACAACTTATATCAATCGATTACATAATTTAGCTAGACCATTATCAAATACAGCAAAATTCGTAGAAACATGCCGTGAAACAGTTGAATCTTTTAAACGACCAAGTGATTTTGATGCTAATTATAAAGTATTATATAAGATTATAGAACAAGATGAAAAAGATCAGGTTATTGGTAGTATTCAAAAATGGTGGAAAGAAAAATATGGAGATAAAGTAGCTGAGATTAATCAACGGAATCAAAAATTTAATGGAGCTGTTACTGAACCTAATTTTGCTATTCTATCACCAAATAGTGGAGTAATTCGAAATGCAAAAAAACTTATCGAAGCTAGACAGGAAACAATTGTTGAACCTGAATATTTTGAAGTTGTTCGTGAGTTTGTTCGACAACTTTTATTACTCGATGAAGAAAAACGGGAACATACTGATGCTAATGAACTTAGTAATGAATTAAATAGTAGAACTATTGAAGAAACTATTGATTATGCAGAAAGATGGTTGTCAGAACGTGATGAAATTCGTAATCGAAAAGAAGAAGATCCATGTATGTTGATTATTCTTAATATATTTCTCTTTTTCTATGAAAAAAATTCTTTTATCTTGTTTAGATAAAATTGAACTAGAAGAAGCTAAAGCAAAATATGGTCGACAGCGCATGGCTCGTAGAGCACAAAAATTTGCTGTAGCAGCATTTATCCGTCAATTGGCCGCTGGTTCAAAAAATGATGAACAATTTCAGGAACAATTGGACAATATTGTTAAACAAGAAAGGAAAATCAATGAAGAAACGGAAACCAAAGAAGAAGGAAAAAACAATGAAGAAAGGAAACCCGAAGAAGAAAGGAAAACCAATGCAGAAAGCCTACCTGTAATTCCTTGTGACATCGGTGATCCAAATGGTAAATAAAAGATATGTGACTATGAGAGAAAAAATTTTCAGAAGATAATATATATCTACTTATCATATGTATTTCCGAATGCGAATATATATTATTTTTAGACTTTTTTAAAAATTAGTTGGTTTGTTTTCCTTTTAAGTTGATTATAATAATTGAGATTTATTTTTTTATATATTTTAGAGGAAGAACTACCCGTAACGTTCGAACTCAAAGCGGATGCGGCTTTTATGAATCAATTTAAAAATAATTCAAATGAAGTTCAAGAACGATTCATTAAAAGTCTATGCCAAGCGTTCTCTATACCGAGTGGAGAAATTCGTATTAAGAATATTGATTGTGATAAAGCTATTATATGTATATTGATTTCAAAACCTCATGGTACAGTTGTTGTTAAGATTTTAATTGGTGGTGTTGAAGATGCTGTTGCTCGAAAGGAAGCAGTGTGTAAATGTTTTAGTGATATTAATGCAAATGTTGACTCAATTATACTTGGTGAAGTTGCATTGGAAGTTGAAGGTAGACGAATGGATCCGAGATGGAATAAAAATTATGTTTCGTCATCTAATGATCCTACAGGACAGTACTGGGCAAATTCAATCAATCAAGGTGGTAAACCTTATTTTTGCCCTTCAGGTTAGTACAGTAATCTTAACTTATTAATCTATTTGCTATTTTTGATGCTTAGGTTGGAAACGTTATGGTATTAAAGTAGACACAGGTGGAAAAGAATTTGATGCTAAGTGGGGTACTTGGAATATGGCATACCATGGAACAAGAAGCGAAGTTGCAACAAATATTCTTATGTCTGGTCTTAAAGTTGGTACGCACGGATGTCATTATGACGATGGGGTACGACGAGTGTATGTCTCACCTAGTATTGAATATTGTGCTCATCAAATATATGCTTGCCCATGGGAAAAAACGACAAAAAACGGTGAAAACTTATGGTATCAGTTAGTGTTTCAATGTCGAGTTAATCCAAAATCGATTGCCAGTATCAAACCCGAAACAATTCTAGGTCCTGATTATAAAAAAGAAGTAATAGATCCAAATTTCAAAAATAGCGAGCTAGAATGGATTATATTAGACCGAGCTGATCAGGAATTTATTGCAGATGATATCATTTGTTATGGCATGATGATGCGTACATCAAAGGACCATCCAAAAACTTTGACACCATCTAAATGGTGGGAACACACGGATCCCGCATGTTACTCCACATCTACATAACATTTTTGTCGAAAAGCATTTCGTTGACAGGACACTTCATCAACTAATCAATTCATCTGTAGTCTGAGGAAGTATAACTGATTTTAACAGAATTTGAGTGTGGGTGTAGAGGTGAACACAAGTAGTCCTTAAACACATATTCACATCCACGCCAATATTCAAAGAGAAAAAAACGGATCGGAAATTCTAAGGATGATGCTATGGATTTCAATGAATCCTCATAGACCCTTAGGATGCTAGAATTGATCCTGATGAACTCTGATGAATCCTACGTGATCCTAACAGATTTTCTACGACCTTATAAGTCCTAGGATCCAGGATTCCATCGTCCACATCCACAGCCTAACTTTGTTAAAATAATCTATTCTTCCTCTGATTACGAATGAATTGATGTGTCGACGAAATGCGTAGTTATCAACAAAACTTATCTTAGTCGTACTATACTAACATGAAAAATAATAATTCATAGAATACATATAATCAATATATTTTACGAATTATATACGTTTCTTTTCTTAGTTTTTGTTTTTAGTTATTTGTAATTTTTTTATTTGTGAAAATAAACAAAGAACAAACTGTACGCAGTTGTATTTAAGATTCATTTTTGTATAATGTCATTGTTAGAGTATGTTTAAGACAGAAAATCAAATATATAAGTATGATTAAAATATGGTTATGAAATGTTCTTCTCTTTTCTAACAGATATCGAGTAACTAGCTTCTGAGAGAGTTTTCAAATGTGTTTCTTAATCGAATTCATTAGCATCTCATCAATAAATCATTGCTTTATAGATAACAAATAAAATATACTTCAATTACTGAACTATTTCTCAAACATTCAGAAGAATCAAAATTAATGAAAAGAATAGAAAAAAAACGATTGATGATAGGATGATAGAGTCTATCAGATTCAGTTCAAAATAAACTAAATTTAGTTCAGAGTCAAATTTGAACATAACTTGCATATATATATGAATAAAGAGGACGTTTGCAATAGTTATCCAGTGAAAATAAAGGATACGATTCAGATGCACACTCAACCTGTTTTTATTTGATGGATTGTATCGTATATCATTTTTCTTTTTAATGAAACCAACTGTTCTGAGCAGTATTGTTCACTCTGTATCCTTTACTAAAACAGTCACTTATTTCAGTTTAATATATTCTTGATTATCAAAATCAAAAACAGAATTATGCTTCATATTCATATCTATGACGTTAGTTTTTCTCAATTTTAACTTCACTTGTGATGATCTTAAATCACTTTCTATTTCAAGCAGTAAACATGATACATAAGGTCTAAGGTGTTATGAGCATATTGTAAATTGAAACAGAAGAATAATTAGTTCGATAAGATTGATTTTATTTTAGTCTTTAATAGATATATAAAACTTATATCAAATAAATCACCGAAAAAACACATTCTTTCATTATATTTTGTCATCGAGTTTAAATAAAATAGAAAAATCAAAATCAATTATCTTTGGTATTGTCTAGTTCATCTTCATGTATGAGCTTGTTGAATTCATCATTTTTCCATTTGTCTGTTGAAACAAACCAAATATTTTCAAAAGCAAAACGAACAGGTCCTTCTGAATTCATTATTTTCATGTTGAGTACTTCATGAAAAACTTTAGCTATATCGTCGACTTCGTTTCTGAATGCACCAGTACCAATAGGACCAAGTAAGAGATATGTATTCTTACCATCACCTATAGTATTTGCAACAGCTGCTGCCATAAATGCCCGAAATTTAGATAAAGTATTCTGTTTCAACTAGAATAGAATTCATATTTATCATTAAGAAAAGTAAAAAGATTGAAAAATATTTTTCTAATTACCTCCCCATCAGTTTTTGGATTATCATACAGCTGATCATAACCCACACAATAACATGCAGAAACTAACATATCAGCTTTGCGATGTTTTTGTTCATCGTTTGCATCGAAAAAGCATATATCGCGAACATAAGCTAGTCCAAATTCTGGTATAGCATAACCATTCTGCATTCGTCCATATTTAAGATCAAGTAATGATCGATAACCATCAGAATTATAAAGAATGACTTCTTCTTGTGCTCCTAAGTAAAGTAATCAAATGTATAAAACTAATAGACTATTGTCTATTGATATATATATATATATAAGAGTCGATTAGTATATGTTACTACTGAAATACATTTCTTTTTCTAATGAGTACAGCCATGCATTATTTTTTAATTTTAAGTCAGATAAACATTACTTACTGGCACCTCTTAAATAGCCACCTCCTGGTGATTGTTCATTCTATAGAATTCATATATAGTCAATTAGAAATGATTTATAAAAAAAATTTACCGCAAAATTTAAAAGAATAATTTGAGCTTGTTCAGGTACATCAAAAACTGCACGTTCAATTCCTTTATTAACATATTTAATTACACCACGATGATTTCGAGTCGAAACAGGAAATTCACGAAGATTTTTGATAGCATCAATATCTGACGGATCGTGTGGCGGTTCTACACTTTCTTGTACTCCTTCCTTTGGGCAAAGATTTTCCAATTGTTCTATATTCCAATAGACTTTGAGTTCTTCAGGTTTGAAGCCACTCGGACGAAATGTACTCATATAGTTACGAGATCGTTTTAAAAGAAGATGTTGCTAAATATAGAGACTATATATTTATTTGTTTCTTAAAAGATAATGTTCAAAAATAATTTCTATTATTTGATATGAATGTATGTAGGAATAAATAATATATATTACGAGTGTCTAAGAGATAATTCTATGTCAACTGTCGTAAATAAATTCAATTTTGAGTTTAGAAAAAAATCTAAGGTATCATTCTTCCCGTGAAAAAAGGCGATGCTGTATTGAATTCACTTTAGATTTACTAGGTATGTATATCTAAAGCAAATTAATAACTACTCGTCATTTTTTTATCAGTAAAAGAGAAACTTTGCATATATAGATATAATATAAATTATGGAGAACTCACAGGCGGGTCTGTTAATTCCCAATAACGTTCACGCTCATTGATTGTTTTTTCATAATGTTTTTCAAGATTCTTCCAATCTAATGGCTTGTTATTCCTATCCATAAGCCACCCACGAACTTGTCTTGCGTGTTGAATGATATGAACATCAAATTTTTTCTCATTTGTACTTATATCGCTTTCAATTTTTTCCAATTTCTTCTTTATTGCAAGCAAGAAATTATAAAGAGTACGTTCACTATAATCTTCATTTAGAGAACGATATGAAGTTACAACTTTAATAACAGAATGAACAACTGATTTGGTGAGCGATTCGAAAGGTACATACATAGGAGATTCATCTCGCTTGGGTGGATATTCATAATGATTACTCATTTTTGTACAACAAACTCCCATACGATAATCATATAGAAATCATGAAGATTTGCTGAACAGCTGATACTTCCGAGCATTCTTCCATGTTGAAAGTCATAACGACACTTCGAAATTTACCGTGAAATAGATGACGCACCTTTGCAAACAGTTATTTCAATTATATAAGAATTCTTTTCTTCTTATAAAATATGTAATATTCATGCATTGAATTGTTTTTGAATCTTAAAAATGTTTTACATAATTCTATTTGAAATGAATAAGCATTATTTCGAAATGACACATATTCTCTTGTGTTTATTAATTACAATTATACGCTACACATATATCAACATGATTTAAGTTATATTACTCGTTATTCTTTTATAAATATATCAATTTTTAATTTAGAATCACATATGTAATATTCATAGTACAGATTTTGAACTAATCGTTATAGATTCATGTTATTGTTTATCTTCTTTTAAACTCATAAGTGTACCCATGTTTAACATTGCACTTTTTTTTCTAGATCAAACGGAAATTGATTATTTTTTATCAAGGACATTATATTATTTTTTTAAAAACATTTTACCGGACAGTTTTCTCTTTTATAGGAAATGATTTCGTTATTAATTGTGAGGTTTTATTTCCTGAAATGCAACACTTTAGATAAATTAAACATTTATTAAATTGTTTTTGAGCTTTTTGCGAACATTCTTTTTTTTAGTTTTGATGTTTTCTAATCGATGATGTGAACAAGGACTAAAAATATTACGCAGAAGAACAAATGTATTCTATTGAAAAATATCTCTAAATGAGACTTTCATAAATGTTTCGAAAATAGAAATTATCATAGATATATAATTATAAACGAGACTTACACGTCTATGCTATTATGAATAAAATATTTTTTTTCAATTATGAAAAAAGCCTATTATTTAAGATTTCAGGTCTTTCTGTATGACGCTTTTTTTCTTTCCCCTTGATAGATTCTCACGACATTTTGAGTTTCGTTGTAGAAGATTTTTTTACTATTAGAATAAGATAATATTTTCTTTTGAAGACCAATCCATTTAATAAGATTTTCTGGAAGAGAATTTTAATCAAAAAAAAAAATAGTACGTAAAAAAAACGATCGGAAAGTAATTTCCATATTTTTTTTAATTTAAATTAAAGCTGACAACAATGACAGTCTTGCAAAACCAGAGTAGTGATGTATAAAATAAATGAAAAAATAACAGTATATAAACTAACGAGTTATATTGTTATTTGTTAAATAATAACATCATTCTATTCTTTTTTAAAAAATATACATTCACACAGTACTTTATTTCAATTTTATCTAGAAAATCACCATGCGATTGATTTTTCTAATGATACTGTTTCGTCTAGAACTTTTTGATAGTTCTTTTTCACCTGATACAAGTAATTATGATGCGTATGGTCTTAAAATAGCTGCTAATGATGTTATTTTCGTCGAAGCACAAGGTGATGAAGAAACATATCTTGTACAATTTGCTCCGTTTGATTATGCAATGGGTTCACTTCAATGTTCATTTGATTATGATGATTCAACACATTATGTTTATTCAGTTGGTGTAGGGCAAAAGCAAAATACAACAAAAAATAGTTATTTTTATTTTGCTGGTGAAGTTGTACCTGCAGGTTTTTCCAAAACAGATATGTCAGGTCACAATGGAACATTTATTGGTATTTGGATTAATACAGATCCACACGATATAACAGTATATACAGCAACACGACAACCATTACCATGTATTTTTTTTCAAGCACAAAAACTTCAATTTCTTAATTCATATGGTCATCAAGAATTTTTTGTTATTGCTGTTGAACCATATGGAACATATGCTATTGGATTAGCAACTAGTTTTGCATTTACCTATCGACCATTTCCTAGTGGTTCAATAACACCAAAAGCGGGTAGTAGTATTTGGCCAAATAATTCAACATTCAATCCATGTGCAGCTGATGCTAGTAATACGTATACAATTGTTGCAGGTTTCGTCGCAGGTGCAGCTGGATCTCGAGTACGTGCTACGCCTACCGTTTATTTAATATGGAACTCTAATCTTACTGTTTTATCAACATGGTCTTATAGTGCCACGAGTAATTCTTGGCAATCACGTTTAACATATTCAGGTGTTAGTTCATGGAGTAGTAAATTTACTATGTCCGTTAAAATAAATTCTGATGATCCAACTAGAGTACTTGTTGGTATGCCTTTCTTAAATACTGTCTTTTTATTTACTATTGATGGTACAACTCTTACATTGGCTAGTTATGTTGATCATGGACAATCGGTTGGTTTTGGTAAGGGTGTTACTTGGTTAACTAATTCACAAGCAGCAATACTTGTATCAACATATTCACTTGATTATACAACATGGTATTCTTCACAAATCTATGTCTATACATCATTGAATGATACGGATTTACCTTCATCACCATCAGCAATTATTCCAAATACTCAACAACCATTACCATCAACTATAAATTCGATATTACTTCGTATCGTTTCAACACCAGAATCTGTTGTTGTACTTGATGCTGCTGGAGGTGCTCTTATTATATTATCAGAAGCAGCTGGTTATTATGCATCAACGGATACTACAAATGCACCAGTTGCTGCTTCAATGCCTGTTGTTAGTCATTCGACAACATGTATTGGAGGTACATATAAATCAGATATTGGTATTCATCCTTGCAAATTATGTTCAAGTGGAACAAAAAATCTAGGTACTACAGCTGGTATATCATGTATGAATTGTTCATCCGATAGTTTTTGTCCATTGGGAGCAGTCTATGAAATTAATTCGACTTTACTTATTTCTCTTTCACAAGCATATTCATATCCTCGTTCACCTGAAATGACGAATTTCGAAGATGTTCTTTTGAACAATATGTTTTCAATGGGTTCAACAATGTCTTGTTTAATTGTTTCACCAATCTTTTGGTCATTAATACTTACATTTATCTTTATTCTTATACTTTTAATTATGGCTTCACTTGGTTGGTGTGTACAACCATCAAAACGTGATCGATATAGAGCTGCTATGAAAACTGTTTTTCAAAAAACAGATCTTGTTGTATGTATTCTATGATTTGTATAAATATATTGAACATTAAATGTATATTTTAGGGTGAAGGTGAATTATGGGCTGGTGGAATTGCATCCATAGCTGTTGTTCTAATAACTATCATGGCTTATACATTTTCAATATCATATATGAATCAATATCCAGCGGAAAAAACACAAGGATCAAGATTTTCTTGTGATTCTACTCTTCGAAACGCTAAATTTGAATCAAGTCTTCAAGCATTAGCTGTTCCTGTACCTGATGACGAACAAACAATATTTGATCTATTAAATGATCAAAATTTCACTCTTCAACTAGATTTTATTAATACAGCAGCATCTTGTATGACATTTTCGATTTCAAAAGTTACGGATGTATCAACAACAGCTCTTACAAATTCATCATGTAATAATATAAATGGAACACTTCAAACAACAGTCAAATTACCTGAACATGCTATTGTACTACAAGTAGTCATAAGTGATATTCAACTTATTGGTGGTCTACGAATAGGTCTTCTAGGTTCCGGTGCACAAAAGGATACATTTACATTACAAGAACTCAATTTTCTACAAACATTTTATAGTCCATCATCTGAAACTTTAGCACAGATTGTAACTATTGACATGGCATTAACTAAAGTTAGTTTTTTTTATTTCATTATAATTCTGTATTCTGTTTTGTTGTAATAGGTTATTAACGAAACAGATCCATTATTCGGTGATACTTCAGATTTTGCAGGTATATGGTATCCAACATTTACATATAGCCTATCTGAAATGTTCATATCTTCTGATTATTATCTAACATCTGCTAAACTTACATCAACTACAATAACAATCGATATAACAGAAACATCATATTATATTAAAAATATTCAATCACCAATTGCGAAAGAACCCGAAATTATATTTCGTACTCTTTTATTTGCATTTTTATGTCTTGAAATATGCGCAATGGCATTTCTTATTTGCAGATTACTCATTATGCCACTAATAAATAAGATTTATATGCGCTTTACTGGTCATCCTATTGTTCCATTTGAACCAGAACATGGCAAAGAATCTAATCATCAACATCATTAATATATTACTAACTAATAAACATAAACTATTTATATTTAACCAATTCTCTGTAATTTTTCACTTATCAATAAAAATCATACATATTTAAAATAAATAAAAATTGCCTTATTCACTGTTTTCTTATACAGATGACTCATGACTCCATTTCTATAGATAACTATCGATGTGATAATCCAGACGAATACTAGTACATATAACCCGTTTCGATGAATCATCATCATCATCAGCTTTTCTATATTCATATTTTTTGAAGTTCAATGGCTACAATCATCGATTATTAATCTGATTTAAGCTACATCAACTCTATGAATAATATAGTCACAAGGAAAGTATTATGTATTTTTTTATTTTATTTTCTAATACGCATATAAATTAATTTAACACATGACATTGATAATATCAAGTGAGTTTTTTTTCTTCGTAATTTTCAAAAATTATAAGAACATAAAATATAA